TCACCGGCTCGGCCCCACCTGCGCCCACGTGCTCGGCCCGCAAGCCCACCTGCTCGGCCCCACCTGCGCCCACCTGATTCGGCCTGCGCCGCCGAGCACCCAGCTGAGCCTTGAAGAAAGGCGCGGAGCCCGCAGGTGCAGACACAGCGGGCCGCGGCCCCCCCACTCCCCCGGCATCAGGGCGGCACAGGGCGCAGGGACCCACTTTACCCACTCTGAGCCTCTCCGGAGATTGGGGGTGAGGTAGAGGAGGAAGGAGAGGTGCGGTGGGACACATGCAGACAGACCCTCTTGGCACCTGGAGGATGGAGTGTTAGCCCTGCTGGGTGCTGGGGCCCGCGCTGCTGCGGGCGGAGAAGAATGCAGTCGGGTCGGTAGGTGCCCACTGGCGCTGTCGGGCCCTGGAGGCAAGGGGGAGCCACCGGTCAGGGACCGCCCAGTGGGAGCCGTAGGAGTGGAGGATGCGGGGACCGCTGGAGACAGCAAGGTTCTGGAGAGTTTGACCAACCGGCATAGCAGGCTGGGCTGTCTGGGCAGGTCCGAGGGAAGCGTTTGCGCCACCCTAGGGGCATGTGTGTTTGTCCTCCTGGCCCAAGGGGCTGCCGCTGCGTCGTGTGGGCTTTCCTGGGTGGGGGCAGGGGTAGAGGTGGTGATGAAGTCAGAGGTTTTCGTGGGTCCCCCACACTGCCTCCAGCCATCGCTGCACCGGTGTTTGGGTCCCTGTACATGAAACGGGTGCAGGGGTGGAGGATGGGGTAACAAACAGGAAAAAACAGGCTCTCTAGAGACATTGTCCTAGGCAGAGGGGTAACCATCCCCCAGCCATGTCAGGGTCCCATAACTTGGGAGACACTTCCCAGGTCTTCACTGAGCACCCTGGGCTGATTTATTTAATGTACCCCCCAGCAGAAAGTCAGTTCTTGATGGTGGACAGAGTGCAGCCCCCACCCTTCCCCTGACTCCCCCCCCCTTTGGATGGTGCCTGCAGTGGGTGCAGTTTGTATGGTCTGAGAGAATGGAGTGGGTCCCAGCCTGTGCCAGGCACGAGGGAGGCTCAGCCACTACAGCTCGGGAACCTTGCTGGGAGGTGTTTCGGTTAGGACACAAATGGGCAGAGAACCAGGAGGCAGAGTCCACCTCCACAGGGCCCCAGGGGACACTCAGGGCACACAGCAGCCTTTCATTCAGGCAGTACTTTCAGGATGAATGCGTATATGAGGGAACAGTGTTTGCACATCCATCTCCCAGTCAGCAGGAGGAAGACAAACTTGTAATAGGCAGTGTTGGGACAACTGGAGAGTCACAGAGAAAGAAAATACAGATAAAGTTGATCCATCTTGTACGCGATGCACAAGAATAAATTTCGAAGAAATGACAGGCTTAAAGGCAAATGTTGAAATGAAGCCATGCAGACTCTACAAAAAAGCAGGGCTGAATTCCTCAGCAACCTAGACTAGGAAGTTCATTCCCAACCACTGGAAATCCAGAGACAATAGCTGAAATCAGCAAAGGAAGACAGGCAATGGCCAACAGACAGCATTTGTAGTTTATTTTACATCACAGGCAAAGGATTAGTAACACTGATACATAAAGAACATCTAAAACTGAGAAGAAAATGATAGACCGCCTTATGGGAACGGGGTTGAAAGACAGGGACGGTGCATCCTGACCTTTGCACTTATGGGAAAAGCTTCAACCTCACGCTCAACAAGAAACACTGGAAGTACACTGTAGCACCACTGCTCCCCTACCTGGGCAAAGTCCAGATGTTTGAGGGCTCCGTCGTGGGCAAGGCAGGCCTCGGGAAAATAGATGTGCACCAGCGTCTTCTGTGGGAAGGGGGGGTCCTGGTCATATTAGCAAAAGCACAGGTACCATTTGACCCGGCAAGTTAGTCCCATTTCTGGGAACTGACCCAAAGATACGAGGAAACATTGAAAATGGTATATGCATAAGGCTATTCATTGTGACATTATTTGTATATTAGCAGGAGGCTAGAAACAACCAGAGTGTCCCTCAAATGGCTGAACTACGCTATGGTACAACTCCATAATGTAGCCCATTATCAATATGATCATTAACATTCGAAGGACAAAAGGACCCCCAAGAATCATACTGTTAGTAATACTATTAGTACCATTACTTTGAAATTACAAGTACATATCATGTTAAATTCCTGCACAACTAAAGGTTTTCAGCACAAGAGAGAAGAGATACCAATATAAAATCAAAGAAGTACAAACTAATGCTTAAATTGGAATTGGGAATCTGAGCATAAACTCCTCAGCTACTTTACCTTGAAACAAAATTACTTCCTAGCTCTGTCTTAAAACTGAAAAGTTTTAGGAGGGGTCGATCAGCAAGAGAACAAGTTGTGCATCAAAAAGAGTTATAGATTAAAGCATATCAAATATCTTAAAAACCCATTAATTCATAATGATGCCAAAAAATTCTAATGGGCCCTTTGTTGGTTACTGGGCTCATTAGTCTGAAAACTAGCTGAAAAGGGGACATTGTCAAGTGTTTATCCTGCCTCCCCTGCCTGAACTGAACTTCAGGGGAAGAAGACACACACATTATGTGATGTCAGGGGAATTGCTCCAAAGAAATCCGCAGGGAGGGGCCTGGAGTCTGAGATTAAACCAACCGGCCACTGAACTGGTCATTGTTGAAGTGATCATTGTTGAGCCTGTGGTGAATACAATCATGACACTGTGTGCTTTACTTTCGTGTATGTTTCCATATTTAAGAGATTATAACAAGGAGCCACCCAAGCACCTGGTAGAGGCTTCTGGGTTGGGGAGGGGGCTCTGAGCTGTGCAGGGGCCTGCTCTGGGAGTCCTGGCCTGCCAGCCTGGAGACACTGGAGTGGATCAGAGGCTGGAAAGGGGTCTCTTGGAGCTCTCTGCAAGCTCAGAGGAGCTGGTGGGGGGTCCTGGTGGAGGACTGAGGACACTGGGCTGAGAGGTGAGAGCTGAGAGGAGGGAGACCAGGTTCACAGGTGCTATGAAGTGCAGGCTAGGGCTGCACTAGGCTCAGGAAAGGAAGGGCCCAGAGTGAAGGGGTGAGAGCTGGGGCTGGGTGGGGCCAGCCCACAAGAAACACAAGCCGGGCCTGCTCACCTGGGGCTGGCGGGCCTCACCCACCCCCAGCCCACGGCTCACCAGCTGCCCTCCAGTTTCCCCCTCCACTGAGGGAAGCCCCACCTGCCCACAGCCCCCTCCCCAGGACCCAGACAGGGGCCCTGAGTCCACTCTGGGTACACATGTCACACCCTGGGGTCCTGGACATTGAGGCTGACAGGCCTCCCTGAGTCACCCCCTCTGCCTCGCAGGCCCATGGGCTGTCTCAGGGCCTCAGAACATTCTGGAAACACTGCAATACCCTTTCCTCAGTGGCCCTTTGCCATCACCCCTCTGCACACCATACCCACCCCTCGTTCTGTGGGGTTAGAGGCCAGCGGTGGGAGGAGCCCAGCTGCCCAGGCTGCAGAATCACACGCCCACACTCCGCCCTGCGAGCCCAAGACCCATGGTCCTGCTGGGCTGCCGGGCGATCGGGATTGACCGCGGGTTTCCTTTGGTCTGAGGTTAAGTCGTGTGACATTACCCCTTCCCATGAGCTGGTCTCATGCTCCCCAGAGAGCCTTGGGGCCCAGCCCAGCTGATAGGAAGTCCCTCAGGATACTCTCTGGGGCTCAAGTTCAGTTCTCCAAATAGAGCAGATTTAGAAAAGCTTGGGGTTGCTGGCCCTGGCTGTGTGCAGGGGCTGGGGGAGGCTTCAGCAAAGAGCATTGTGGCCAGCACCACAAGCACCCCGTGGCCCCCTCCAGTCACCTCCCGTCACCCTCCCACTGGCACTGAGCCTCTTCATCCCCTTCTAAGTAGGTGTCTTGAGGACGAGCCCTGAGACTCCAAAGTCCCCTACAGCCCAGCAGGATCTCCGAGCAGCAGTCACTCTGTGCAGAAAAGTCGGGTTTGGGGTTCAGGGTTAGCTTCCAGCTGGAAGGGCCACCTTGCAATATCTTTGCCGCGAATTCGCACCAACTACCTGCAAAATCAAGATGTGAGCTTATTTCCACTGCCAGTCCAACGGTCACACGGATGCATGGTCTGGTGCCCTCTTTGGCAAAATCACCCTCAAATGTGCCCCTTACACACTCACCCTAACCCCTCACGTTGCTGTGTGACCGAATATCCTGAAGTCAAGAGCTCTGTACACCAGGCTGGACCCTTGGGGCACACGCCTGTCCAGCACACGTTGGAGAGTGAGGGCCGAGGCCAACACATCCGATTTTGATCACCAAAACCTAAGACCCCCCAGCCCTCACAGGACCCCCACCCAACACAGCAGCCCACCACCCACCACCCATGGCCCTCAGCTGATCCTTCCAGGGTCAGGCTGCCTCATGTCCCAGGAGCCCAGGCAGTGCCCACCTGGGGCATCTGAGAAGCGATCAAGCCTTTCCTTGCTGGACAGTCTGGTGGGTGTCCCTGGTCACTCGGAGAATGGAGGGCAGGAGATCTGGTCCAGGTGGCCTGTTCTTAGTCCTTCGATGCTGTGGCGGGCAAGTTCCTGGCCAGTGCCTTGTCCACCTTACTAGTGCTTTGGCACTTTGGCCAGTGGGACTGGCCCTCCCAAGCTGTCCCCGTGGCCCATCTCGGAGCCAGAACCCAGGCTGGGCCTGAGCAAAGAGTGAACTTGGTGGAGGCAGGTGAGCAGGTCAGGCCACAGGCTGGCAGGGAGGCCAGGGCGATGGCAAAAGGGGGTGAAGAAGAGGCGGCAGGGGTGACTCAGCCAGCCGGCCGTGTTTATTGGGCACCCACTGAGTTCCCAGCCTTGCTGGGCATTAGAGCCACCAGAGGAGTGGAAGACAAGTCCCTGCCCCTGGGGGGCAGTGACCTTGTCTGTGAGACATACAGACCACGAGAGAAGCCACACGACAACAGCACACACGTGCTGAGAGCTTCACCCAGCCCCACTCCTGCTCCCCCAACGACCACACAGAGCCTGTGAAAGAGCTGTCCTCACGGGGTGCGGGCACCCTGAGGGCGGAGACTAACTCACTCATCCCCGGAGTCCAGGCACCCAGGAGAAGATAGGTGGTGAGTGGGCGACTAGGGAGAGGAATGGGTGCATAGGGTGGGTGGGTAGATGGGTCGTCTTACTTCCAGTTA